AAGAATACCAACAGGTTTGTTCTATGAAATTGCAATTTAATACTTTCATGTCTGCCAAATACATAAGAAAGCGACCTGAAAGAGGGACCCAGCCATAAACCAGACAGTGTCAAGCTCAGTATACTCCCTCCTGATCCCTTCAGCCCTCTCAAAAACTTCAGCCTATTAACATCACAATGCGGAATTAACACTTCGGAGTAGAAAACCAATAAGCATTTTGTAGATTTGGTATTATGGAGGAAAAACCAATATAGGACAGCATTAGTACTCAGTTTACCACAAGTAACAAAGGCAAGCAATAGATACCTTAGTAGGGCTGCCTGTCAGATAATTCAGCTCATTTTCAGACCATAGAAGAGGCGATTCTACAGCTAACTGTCCCCTCCCTCGCTGACGATCAAGCTCTCTGATATATGGGTACCAGAAAGACTTCTTTCCTTGCTTCTTTTCATACATCAGGTACAGTGCCAAGCAGGCCAACTCCGACAACTTGTTTGTGGTCAAGAGTTCCGCTGAATCAGAAATCCAATGGCCCATTCAACGTAGAGTCACCCTTTATCATGTCTAATTAGTTCAATCAATAAAATAAAAAGAGTAGTAGTATCATCATCACAGTTATTGTAACCTACTGGCTATCATGTACTCGTGCTATCAGAACAGCATAACTCATCAAAGTGCAAAGTGCAAAGTGAAATTAAATTCAAAAAACTCAATTGTAATTTGACAGGGCAAAGTGTCATTGACCCCCCCCCCCCAAAAAAAAAAAAAAAGAATTCGGATCAATACCCAATTCTAGAGAATTATTACAATTAGAACTACGTCTAAACTTTGATTCTCCCCGACCAAAGCATCTTGACTGCTATAAAAACTTCTAGTAAGAGTGATCCAGCAAAAAATGCTCCTAACACTCCACCAACAAAACTTTCAATGACGTCTATTGCACCTTTTGTCCTGGAACCATTTCAAACCACTCTACGTCCCTTACGTTAATACCAATTCAACATATCTACAGATGGTTTTTTATCTTCTTCCTCTTTAAATGAAGTTTCAAAGAACTCAATGATGCCTATAGAGATGTTTTTCCCATTCCCTGTAGTCACATCAATCGTAGTCTTCAGAAGGAAATCCAACATTTACGCATTTGCCACTTATGCAATTAGCTCTTCGATTTCTACTACCCTTGCAAAATTCATTTTAGCTTCCACATTCCACCTCATAAAGCCATTTGGATACCCTGGTTCTTCCTTTTAAATGAAGTTTTGGATTCCCCTTGAACCATCATCTTTATTCATTTTTTTGGCTTGTCTTCAAGGGACTTGAGCTTTTATGCAATAAAAAAATCGAAGTTAACCACCAGAAAGGCTGTCAAAAGAACTCCCAATTTTTGCAATGACAATAAGGTTCCTTAAGGATATCAATCTTGAAAACCACATTATTCAGAACCATGAATCCTCAGCCTTACCCAGCTTTAAAGTTCCGACATCAATAACCTTCATCTTGGTGTCATGCAGTGGATACTATTAGCTTTCCACTTCTTAAGAGTGGAATTTATAAACATGTACTGGAAGCAAAAAACAAGGTAAAAGCCTTTTGATTCCAGGATAAAACCCACATCTTTACATAGATATCCACATTGCAACTACCACTCCGTCCCTAACCTTTTTAAGTGTAATCATGGATGGCCATATATTTGCATGCAAATAGACATATCACATGAACACTGTAATAACCAATCAAAATAATACTAATCCACTGCTCATACACTCTTGCTCTGTGATCTTACATGCTGAGATTTTACATCAAAACTTACATTTGACCTGTAGACCACCAACAACGATTATTGATTGTCACCTATGCAATTTCAGGGTGCATGGCCTACTGCCCAAACTATTGACGAAATGCATAATAATATCCATTACTAATAGCATGCGCAATGCCACCCTTACATCACTATTTAGGCCATTGCAATTAGCCTAAATCGAAAATCAAGTAAAAGAAAGACTGCAAAATTTATCATGGCACCTTACCAATGGTCTCATTCCCCAAAACTCGCTCCAGTGTTACAACCAATGGGTTTGGAACAGAGAATGCAACGTCACCTGCCTGAAGTATATCAAAACAAATAAAGATGATCAATAAACCTCTATAAAACAACAAACAGCAAACAATTAAAACCCAAATCGTTCATAGAACTAAACCTGGAGATCTTCGCTCGCAGCTACATAATGTATGGAGCGATGTTCCGAGTCGTGGGAATGCCTTTCCTTGAGAAAAACTTTGCAAGGAGGAAGTCCATTCTTGTGCATCCAAGATTTCAAGTCTCCAAACTCATCTTCTTTCTTGCTCACAACTTCTCTTGACTTCCCATCTTCTTTGCGCGATCCAGTAACTAAGGTTTCTGAAGTCGAAGTGGAAGCCGAGCACATGTTCCTACATCGGAATGGATCAACATTTTTTTGCTTCTTGTGGACCGATATCGAAATCCTAGGGAGAACAAAGAGAGGACGATGAGTCCAATAACGAATTGGAGTCAAAATAAAGTTGCTTTGTTGCAAATAAGAGACGTCCATGGTGAGTAATTCTCAAAGAAACATTACAACGCAAGTGGAAATTTCAGGGCTAGGGTTAGGGTTTTGAAGTTTTAAAATGAGATTATTTTGAGTGTGTAGAATCGGGAGTGAGAACAACTGTATTTGTTCTCCAGTCGGCAGGAAATAGATATGAATTTGGTGGAGCTGCTGATATTTTCTTACGGATATTGTTTTGGAGTGTTGTGAGGATGAGAGAGAGAGAGAGAGAGAGAGAGACGATATAAAATGGAATTGACACAGAAATTGGCGTTGGCTTACGGGGAGCTGATTGGAGGGAAACCAAAATCTAGGACAGTCCAGATTGCAGAGCGTATAGACAGACTCTTTTGCAATCAATACATCAATGCACAACTAATAAAAAATAATTGTATTAATTAATATGAATTAATTTTATATAAACAAATAAAATATAGCATAAAAATAATATTTATTATAATTTAATATTTGATAAGATACTGAATAAGAGTAAGATAATAGAACACTAATTCAATATTGACAAAAAAAATTATCAATATAGTCTAGTTATGTATGTTTTTGTTTAATTAATTAGCAAAATAATAAAGTATAACTTACTACGGTTTTTATTATAATACTATGACAAACTGTATTAAAATTAATTGCTAACATATTATTTAAGTCGTTAATTATGATTTTATATAATTAATAATTATTTTTAAAAATTTCAAATGAACATTAAATATAAATTCTTTACATGAAAATGAGTCGAATAACTATAATATAAATTATATTTGGTATTTAAATAAAAATATCATAGTATTGAAATGATATAATGGTTGGATAATATATATATATATATACTAGTTATTGTCTGTATCTGAAGGCACAAAATCATAAAAAATAGTAAAATAATAAACATATTTGTATTCATATCCAAAATTAAATCACAAACATAGAAAAAAGATAAAAAAATTTAAGCATCGATTTGTAATGGGGTGAAAGGTGGTGAGCGGCAGTGGTGATGATTGTGGTAGGTGGCATTGACCGTGGTGGTGGTGGTGGTGGCGGCGACGACGATGGTGGAGACGGTGGTAGGCAGCAATGGTGGTTATAGAAAATAGTGATGATTGTAGTGGGTGGCAATGACTGTGGTGGCGGTGGCTGTGGTAGTGGCGGTGGTCCTGGCAGTGGTGGTGGTGGCAGTGGCGGTGATTTAAAACACTATTCTTTTTTAAACTGTTTATGAAAAATAATTTTTAAAAATAATATTAAAAAGTCACTTCAAATACACTCTTAAATGCTTATTTTTCTTATTAAATTTAGGGTGTTAATATTAGCCGTTAGATTAATTTTAAAATAAAATTTAAAACAATTTCAACCGCAAATAAAAAGAGTCATTTTATTTATTTTTTAAATTTGAATTATAAATTATTTTATTATACATATAGAGAAAGAGAGAGAGATTATACAAGTGTTAAATGGGTGGGAGATGGTACGGTGTTAAAGTGACAAGTGTTTCTATATATGAAGAACATGACCAAAAAAATTAGAAAAGTGTCAACTTTCTTCACCATGCTAATGTCAGCCAACTTACGTAATGGTCTTATAGGCCAAATGAAGCCCTCATGTGTTGGCTATAAGTAGCTGCCCCTGTCCAAGCCAGGGAAAAAAAAAAAAGGAAGGAAGGAAGAAGGGGAAGGGGGGGAGAGAGAAAAAGTTATGAGATTTTTAAGGTCAAAAATTAAATAGTGATTTTATTTTAAAATTTAAGTATTTGGTTGTTGATATTTTGAATTTCATAACTATCGGAGTTATTGATAGATTTGAGATACGTGGTAGTATATAATATGTTCCTATCTTTTAATTTTTTTTACAAAGAGTGTCATTTGATTATCTAAAATTTGTATTCTTATTAATTATTATAATTGATATAAAATTCTGACACTTTTATTGGTTAACTTGTATTTTTAGTTAAATACTTTAGAATTGATTAATACATGTAAGAAGTATACTTGAGACATAATTTGTGAAATGTAAATTATGGCCCTTGCGGGATGCGATTGTGATTACAATTTTGTGGGATGTAATAGTTTGATAGGAATATGGAATTTAAATGTCCAAGTGTCACTTATATAAACCAAATATGAGACTATGTTTGATAGAACTTGAGCTATGTGACTTATTGAATTGGATTATTGATTATTTTATCTATGATTTTTTATTGATTGAATTATTTGGTATGTGATCATTAATATTTGTTTTGTTGAGCATATTATTTTCTATTATATTATAAACTTCTCCACTTTTAACATTTTTCAGGATGGTCTCAGAGGAAATGATTAAAGTTGATATTTGAGAAATCCAAGATGGACAAATTTTGATATAATTTTTAACTTTTATTGGTATTTGGAGTTCAAAATTGTGATTATAATTTTTATTGATGCAATTAACATGTTGTATCTATATTTAGAAATATTTGTGGTTTATTGTGATCGATCGATTAATTTAATCAAATAATACGTCCAAAAAAACCAGGGTGTTACATATTAAAATTAGTTTAATAGTACGAGCCAAACGTATTATTTGCATATGTATTTTATATATATACGAAATAAGACTAGATATAACACAAAATATTTTTAACAATCAAACATAAGGTTGAATTACAAAGCTTTAATTTGTTATGACTTTGTGTGGTTTGTAACCTCTGTGTTCTAATTTGGTCATTTGTAGTCTAGTTTAGTCATCTAAATCCTTGTATGTTTTACTACAAGTCTCTTTCGTTTTGGACGGGAAAATGAACAAATTGGCAATTGATCGAATCAGAATCCACTCGTAACTTGGTAAAACCCAAGCCTGTTATTATAAAGAGTTCGGTTGGTTAGAAAAAAATATTAGATGTGTTTAGTTAGAAAGAAATGAAAAATAATAAATAAAATAGCTTTCTCACAATAATAATTTTTTTCATAAATAACTATCTTTTTCTTACAAGAAAAAATAAAGAAAGTGTGACGAATAATTTGCATTTTTATTTTACCCCTTTTATTAAAATAGTTAATTGGTGATTATATTGGATGGCTTGGTGTGTAAAGGCCGTATAGACGAATAAAATAATTTTTCTTGTAACTTTCATGACTTCCAATTCAAAAAATAAAAATTTCCTACAACTTTCATGTAAAAATTTCATTCTAATGAATTCTATATGAGAATTTTTATAATTTTTTTCATATAATTTTATATCACTTTTTCTTCTTATTATTTTGTCTTTCTACAAGGTCATCTCTAATCCTTATTTAAATTTAGACTTAAATTTAGATTTTAATAGAAATAACTCAAAAATCATCTTCAGCAAAAATAAGCTCAAAAATCATCTTCAACCATTTATCCAAATTTATAACAAATTGAGGGAGAACACATTCTTAACCCTAATTAAATGAAACTCAAATTATTTATCCAAACACTTACTGTAATATTCTACCAAATTTTCTGTGTATTCTCTTTACCAAAGACTTGTTCTATGTCTTCCTCTCTTCATAATTTCTCTCCTTGAAACCTCATAGCACTCATAACAAAACCCTAACCCTGTTGGAATTTGATATAAACTCTCTAATTGTTCTAATGAAGAGTTCGTTGGGTAATTAATATGAGAATTTAAATTAAATAGGAAATAAATTAGAAGAATTTTAATATACCATTAATAAGTATATTAGACATGTGATAGAAACAAAATGATTAAGTTGTATTTGAATATGTTTAAATTACAATATTGTATCCCTAGAAATAAAGTTGCGTATTATATAATTAGTTATCAGATGATCAAATTTCAGTAAATAATACATCGATGTAGGTTTTTGATTGTAAATGCAAGTATAGTGTACCGGGAGAGTATGTTATATTAAACCATGTTATATTTTTGCATTTTATTTTTATTGTTTTTCTATCTTCCAAACAAGTATTATTTGTGTTAATTATCTATTGTGCAAAGCTAACAAATGGTACGAGAGTTATGTTCCAAGGAACCCTAATCATCTCCCCATCAACCACAACATTTGATTGACACAGTTCAACTTCGAACTCGAATACCCAAAAACCACCGAGCAAGCTTGATAAGATGAACTTGAAGAAGATGACGGGGAGAAATTCTAAATTAATTCTCACTTGGTTCTTTGTCTTTATAGTCCAAATTGTGAAAAAGGTTGGATTTTTTGGTGTCTAAAATTCATTTAGCCCAAGCTCAGTTAATTTGTCTAGCAGGTGCATAAGCTTAAATTGGATCCAAAACATCCCTTTTCAAGCCCATAATTAAATTCAAAAAATGTGCATAAGAAATTACAGAGCAAGAAAAAAAATAATGAAAAAAAAGAAAAAAAAAGTATTCAGAAAATATGTATAAGAAATTAGAGAGTAAGGAGAAAAAAGAAAAAAAATTGGTGATAGTAAGTTTCAAGACCTAGCACTGAGTTTCAAGCATAAAAGAAATACTCACGGCTAGCAGTGAGTTTCAAGACAAAAAAAAATGTATTTAGAGACATAGATAATCAGAGATAATGAAATAAAGATTTACTAGTTAAAGAAAAAATGGTTGAGATCCGCTCGACAGGGTTGAGATTGCTCAATAGGATTGAGATCTACTTCTACTTGATTGTTGATGGCACCATTCGACCTTGAGTCTTCAAATCTGCTTGATAGGGTTGAGATGTTCTACTTGATCATTGATGCCATTATGTGGTTTTTTTTGTTTGGGAAAAGAGAAGAGAGAAGTGGTGGCAGAGAGAATGAGATAGTGGAACTGTAGTTAGGTTTCGGACAGGTTGATTATTTCGGGTTTTGGACTTGAGGTATTCGTCAGTTGAATCGATTTTATCGATTAATTTATATTTTTTTCTAAAATCGACTCGGTATAAGTATTATCCGCCAATTTTCAGTTCGAAAGAGTCGATTTAGATTCAATTTTCAGATTATCGGGTATTTTGTACAGCCCTTGTGGGCATGCTTCAAATTGGATGAATTTGAGTTTATTA